CCCAACATGTTAGCTTCATGTATAGCTTATCAATCCCATATATTGTATATCAGAACGTATATTAATTTGGAAACAAAAATTCTTACTTGGTAATAGTAGGGTACACTTATAAGCTCATTGCTTCACCCCCTTTCACCATACATCTAATGGTTGCTATATTCTGGAATATCCATCTTTCTCATTTCTTTCACCAGACCAGAGTCATATAAAAATGAGTAAAAAATACTAATGATAATACGACATAAAAGACCTTGATTAAATCACGTGAAAAGACAACTCATTTGTCTTAGCCTGGTGTGCAAGCATCAATTCCAACATATTACTCGATCTTATCTCGTATTACCTCAAACCATCCTATTTAGTAATCAATCTTTCTCCTTCCCATGTAGGTGGTTGGGTAAAGGGTACGCGTGACCCCTTTTTTATCATTAACTCGTGTGAATTAACATAGGGTGCGTTTGGATACAATGATTTGGATTTGGTATTTGTGATTTAGATTTCCAAATACCAAATCATGTGTTTGGATATTAATTACATTTGGTATTTGGATTTGTGTCAAATTCATGGGGTGATTTCCAAATACACGTCTAGTGTATTTTTTGTCAACTTCAAATACATTTCAACAACTAGTGATTTGAAATACCTCATAACAAAAAATTGGACCTATTTGTAAAATATGAAAAGTTTAGGTACTATAGTGTGAGGAAAAACATATAAAGGTACCAAAATGTAATTTTACCATCAAAATTTCAGGACCTTTTTTGTAAAATTTTAAAATTTTAGGTACTAAATTGTAAGAAAAAATAAATTTGGGTACCAAACTGTAATTTACCAAAATTTGTAGTAAGTGACCAGAAATTTAAAAATTCAAATTGAAAATCGTAAAATACAAAATACAAACAAATTACAAATGAGTATCCAAACAATGAATTTGAATTACATGTATTTCAAATGCTAATATTTCAAATACATTCATTTCAAATGCTAGTATTTCAAATACCTTACATTTAAAATACACCTATCCAAACGCACCCATAGTGATTTTGACGATTTGAATGAAAAACTTGATGATGATGGACACAAAACGATTGTATTTTTAGTTTTCCCGACTTACTTGTACGCAGTTATTAAAAACCAAAGTTTAATGATCGAGCTCCAAATTTAGTGCCTGTTTTTCCCCTCTGTAATTTACCATTTTACTCCCTCTCCTTTTATTCTTTTACCATTGTGGTACACTATTTTGGCGATCCAAGTACCACTAAAAAGTTCATGTTGTATCATCGTTGTCTTGGGGTCTAAAGCGATCACCAGCCATTGTTATCAAAATAAAAAGGAGGAAGCTTTTTGGAATAAAGGACACACGAAGTGATTTCACAGAAGGCCACCAGAGGTACATACATGCATGTAAAAGCTGTAACTAGGTAACAATAGGACATGTTCTAAGGGCACCCCTGCCAGCCAACCTTGCAAATAAATACCCTTAATATATATTTTTGGTATTTTTTTTATTATGTTACAATTAATCATGTCCATGTTGTACATATAACATAAAAAAAAATGTTTGCACACTATTATTATAATTACATGATTAGTAAGGAAAACAACATAAGGGATTGGGGGACCATAAACAAACCCATACCATTGTTTTTTTCCCCCTCTCCCTACCAAATCATGAAAAAATATATTACAATGGCAAGAGATCTTTGCTATCATGCACATGCCACCATGTGATGGGGATGGGAATGCCCTTCATGGTGTCCCTTGGTAATTGTTTGTTACTCTAGAGTTTGATTTAACGATACTATTTACGATTTTTATACGTGAATTACAGATTTACAGTCATCGAATTCGAAGCTGAAATCTTGCTTTTACAAATGAATGTAATTTTTGGTTTTAGTAAGTCGAAAACTTGTCAAACGGGTGAATTGCAAATTTGGTCACTCATATTATCTATTTGTAACAAGTTAGCCACCCAAATCACTTTCCCTTCAATTTAGCCACTGATACTACTCGTTTATATCATCATTAGTCACTCGCCGTTTAGTTCCGTTAAATCTGTCCTATGTGGCGGTCAACAGTTAAGTTTGACCGTTAAAATACTGACGTGGCAATTGAAAATTAATTAATTAATAAAATTAACATTTTATACCTTTACAGCTCACAATTTTCAATTTAAAAAATATTATTTAAAAAAATTAACAATTCTCGTGGTCACTCTCCCTGAGAATCCATCCATCAAATCGGCCCCCTCTCCTACCTTATCTCCGCCGCGTCAACCGAGCCTATGTACCGGAGATCGCACCTTCACCGTTGCCGATCGTGGCATCACTTTCTCCATGATCATTGTACTTCTACTGTCTTCAATCCGCGCCTCTCAGCCATCATCCCGCTCCACGCCTGTCGTTGCTGCAGCTTTCTCCCAAGGCCACCGCCGCACCACCTAATCGTCGCTGCAACAACAACCCGCCGTACTGCACTATCATCAGACAACTGAGACAAGAAAGTGAAAGAAGAAGGAGAAGGGATTTGTTCATTCCCTCGATTAAATTAATTATTAACTACACCAATTATTGGAAGGCATGATTTTTTCGTCAATTTAGGGATCTTTTTTCTTAGTGTGTTCTTATGGATAGGGGAAGAAGATGCAGATTGAGAGAGAGATTGTGGAGGTTGCCGAGTGGGGCCTGGTGGGAGGTTGGGCGGCGGAGTTCTCCTTGCCTGCTGCAGGAATCGGAGGAAGGCGATGCTGGTGAAGAAGAGGCAGAGTAAGCAATTTAAGAGGAAGAAATCCATTATGGAACAGAGACAGTTGAGGGAGGGAAATTGCTCTGTTGTTTTCTCGGTTTGTGAGATGCCAATTACTTCCCAAAGCAGATAGATGTATATAAATACACACCCATTTATTTTTTTCACATTTCAGAACCAACCTAGATTTCAATCGCTAGCCCCAAAATCTCCTCTTCTCTCTCCCCATCAGCACCATCTTCACCGCCCCAACGAAATCCCCACCAATCCGGACTTCATCTTCGCCAAGCCTATCCTTTCTCATTCGTCGCCACCGCTGCCGAAATGGCGAGTTCATGCACTGAATCTCCAGACCCGCCTCTGCCTCTCTCGATCCGTCGATCTGTTGTCGGCCGTCGAGCATGCATCTCCTCTCTCGATCTGGGCGGCGACGTAGGAGAGGGTTTACTCGACGGGTGGGAAAGCGTTAAATTTGGTCAACGGGTCGGGTTTTGCGTGGAGGGAGGTCTGACCAGTTATAAATGAGAAACTGGGATTGGCGGTGCCGGAGGAAGCTATGGCGGAGGAGTTTCGGTTTGCAGCGGCGTTGGGCGGAATGAAGGACGTTTGGGAAGGGCTCGTGGTAGAGGAAGGGTTGGTGGGGACAGATATGGGGTAATTGGTGACTTGGGGAGCTGGGAGACTGACCACGGGCACGGAGGAAGGGAATTGTTAAATTGTTTTAGATAATATTTTTTATTGAGAATTATGAGTTGTAAAAGTATAAAAATTTAATTTTTTTATTTTTTTATTTTTTAATTGCCACATTAGCATTTTAACAGTCAAATTTAACTGTTGACTGCCACGTAGGACAGATTTAACAGAACTAAACGGCGAGTGACTAAAGATGACACAAACGAGTAGTATCAGTGGCTAAATTGAAGCAAAAGTGATTCGGGTGGCTAACTTGTTACAAATAGGTAATATGAGTGACCAAACTTGCAATTCACCCCTTGTCAAACATACAGCAGTCAAAACACCCGTGTAATCTGGCTAGGTACATGTGCAGGAATTTTGTGGGACTCCATTTCAAATCCCAAGCCTCTCAAGTTCCAACCTCTTTTTCTTCACATCAAAGTCAAAGTTTAACGTATGCACGAATGTATATGGTGATATAACTAAATAAACACTTTAAAGCTAGCATTATTTTAGAGTGGTGGTACTCCTAGCTCTTGTACTATATCGGTTTAAAATTCTAGGGATATTATAGAAACGTTATTATTTTGGAGCACTTCTATTATGCTATATAGTATTGGTGCTTTAATGTACAACTTAAAGTTGTACCATAACATTAAATGTATAAGTTTTAGGTTGTACCATAAAGCAATTTGTATCATTATGTTATGGTACAACTTTACAACTTGAAATGATACCATCACATAAAAGTACAAGTTCAAGTTGTACCATAAAAGAATTTGTACGAAAAGTATAGGTACAATCTGAAGTTGTACCATAACGTAAATGTACAATTTTAAGTTGTACCATAAAGACAAAATCCTATAGCACCAATACTATATAGCATTGTAAAATTTCTCTTTATTTTGTGGTTTGTTCATGTTTAGTAATATATCTATAACAAATTTTCTATCATAATCGGTCACAAAGACATGCATGATGTGCGAGTCATGCAAAATATTTCTCAACTCTATAACAACCATACATGCATGATCATGAACAAATTTTAGTAAAGGAATTAACTCGTCATGATCAATAATTATGTTATACACTTAACAAACATAATAGTAAGAAACTCTATTTTAAATAAAATAATTCAATATTTATCTTCTGAGCAACCCACATTGCACTCACCCGTCACCACACTAGTAGAAAGGTAGGAAAAATATTTCCTTTTCAAATTTTGTATCTTTTGTTGTAACTCATACAGTAAAAATGTTTTTCTTTTTTGAAAAAAAAAAGTGGGAAACTTCTGCCAAAATAGAAAAGTCAAAAATTGGGGAAAGGTAAGGAAAGGAAGTGGAAGTTAACCCTACAAAACTTCTCACCTCCCCACTTCTTCTTCCCTCTCTATAAAGCTGCTTACAAAGATTACTCAAGGTATAGAGTGGTCCAATATGGGATTTTTTTTTTTTCTTTCTTCTGCTTATAAGGATGGGCATATGCTAGAAGACCCTTTCAGCATCCTACCTCCTCCTTCTCCCTTTCCACCTCTCTTTCTCCATCTCCATCTCTCTCTTTCAATTTCTCTTCTCCTTTACCTCCCAACAGAGGAAAACCCAAGTGAAAGATCTCTTCTTTTTTACTATGTCGAGGGAAGGGAAGCCCGTGCCATGCTATTCCACAGCTTTCTTGAACTTTCCTCTGCTATAAACTCTCAATTCCCACTAACAATGGAGCATGATTTCCATGGCCGGAGAGCTCAAGAAAGCTGTGGGAGAACATGTCACTCTCAGGGCTTAGAAAATTACTCCCAAGGGACAACCAGGAAGCTACCCAAACTGCCATGGTAAAAAAAACTAAACTTTACTATACTCCTCAGCTTTTCACCTTTTTTACCGTGGGGGGTGAGAAAAGGTTTCACCTTTCAGTGTTTGTTCACTGATTCGAGATGTGGGTTGTCTTTGTTCTTGGGTTTCTGGATGTGGGTTCGATTCATCTTTCATGAATTCTGCTTCATTTTTGCAAGGAATTGAGTGATGAAATGGGGAGTTGTGGTTAGTTTTGGTGACTATTGTATCATTTTTTTTTAACCAAGAAGAATCCAATATGCAGAAATCAGAGATCTATAGCTTGCTGCTGCAGCCATGCAGCAGTAGTAGGCTGTAGCAGAAATTGAGGTAAGTTTCCTTTGGATCAACAACTAACTAGAACTCTGATGGCTCAATCAAAACAGTGAAAGAAAAAGCAAAGGGCCACACAACAGTGTGCTTATTTATTTTTTTAATATTTTCCTTCATTCTATTTTTTCAAAATAGGAAACCTAACAAAAAGATTGGATTTTTAAATAATGGGTAGTGGTTATTATTTGCCATATGAAATTGAATCATTGTGGGGGTGGGATTTTTTGGCAGAGAAGATTCCCAAACTTTCCTTTTTATGTGTCAATGATGATAGTTCTTCCTGTTGGGAGCATTGAAGAAGAGATGATCTTCTCTTCTCCTCTTCTACCCTTACCCTTCTTCTTCTTCTTCTTCTTCTTCTTCCTCCTACATTTCAGTGGATAAATAAACAAATGGGTAAAATTTTTTAACCTTCTTATTAAATGACATCATTTTTTAACCACTCTTTGCTTTCTCTGCCAAGCTTTCTGACATCACTCCCTTGCTGTTTTTTTTAACCTTCCCATCCCTCTCATTCTCTGTCACCAATTCTGTGCTTCTTTTTATCTTTATTTTCCTATTTAATTTCTGGGCTTGCTGTAGGCAGTCCTTTTGTTGGGATCTCCACAGTGGTAGTTGAGGATGCATGCATCAGGAAATAAATAAAACTAAATAAATAGATACACCAACATACCATATACTTGGATATTTGTTCTTCTTGAAAATTTGAATGAATTATGTTTAGGTTTATGGTTTGAGTTGATTATGTTGAGTAGTAAGTAAGTGTCATTATATTATTATTATTATGAGCAAGTTTTCTTTAAGTAAGCATAGGGAATACTACCTTTTAATTCTAGACTTTAGAGTCAGAAAGACTGACTAAATTCAACTTTACCTGTCGTAATTTTGAATCTCAACTCAATTATATTTATATGACACGAAACCAATTGGGTTAATTTTCCTTAGCTGTACATTACTCTATAGCTAGCAGCTGCCAGCAGCCATCTCAATTATGAATTCCCCTTTTCCCAGCAGCTACCTCTCTAGTCATTATTTTTTCCCCTTTATAATTTATTTCTAGTCTACCTGTAATTTTGGTTGCATATATGGAATAGTTTGCTGCAGAAAATCTCGATAATGTTTAGGTATATTTATATGTAACACCTTTCTAGCTAGCTTGTTTTTAATTTCCTCCACTGATTTCCTACCTTGTGTCCACAAAATACACTGAATTGTTTGTTCTTTTCCTCCTCTCTCCAAACTTTATTATTATTTAAATAATTATTTTTTTCCAAAAAATAAAACATTTGATTCTTCTACAGAACAGCAGCCAGCCACATAGTGCCAAATTGTGTTCAGCTACATATATATATGTATACAATCCATTAAGGCCCAATCCTTAGCCTGCTGCAGAGATCAGAATAATTAGGTGATTCCAGCCAATGGAAGTAATTAAATTCCTAATTTTTCCACCACATAATTCATTTTTTTGTGGCCCCTTTTTTGTGCACAAAAATGTGCAATGGAGCTGAAACCTTGAGGGTGGCAGGTGTCCAAGTCAAGCAATTTTCAAAACCCACTTTGCAAAATTTTGTTTTGTCTGCAATGTAATAACTTATTATTGCAGGGCAGAAGATAGGGTTAGTTTGCCAATTAAGGGTATGGTGTCCTTTTTGGTTTGAATGAGGGGTTTAGTGGGTCATAATTGAAGCAGTGAGGGAAAGCTTTGTTAAGGGGAATCTTTTGCTAATACTGGTAATGAACTGTGGGGAGGAAAAGAAAAGGGCTTATCTCTTGTATTAGTGTTATCAGTACCAGATTTGTGAAATGTGAGCTATACAATTGCTTAGCTATGGCTTAGCTAGCAGGTTGCATAATAGACCAGACAGAGGAGGATGGGCACATCTAGTGGACCTAGTGAAATTATATAAACCAAGAGAGAAACCTAATTGAATGATACTTGTTTAATGCAACATGTTGATTATCGTGGTTCGAGGTTGGGTATGTTGATACTGTTTCTTGTATGTGGCTGATTGTCGTTTCTTGCTGGTGACTATCTTCTATATACGCGCTAAGAAATCGTGTGCATTTGAATGATTGTGAACCATTGGCGACTCACGGTGGAGAATCATCCAGGTCACTTTCTTACTTTGCACAAATTAGACTCGCAACTAGGCTCACCGAAGCAGCTCGAACACGAGCCTGTAACCTCGTATGTACGAAGTATTTTATCTAGGCTGATCGAGCTGAAGTTCTTTGAGCGCAAAAGAAAGAGACGCGTCTGGTGGTCCTACCCTCTGATAGTTCATCAGATGTTTCAGTAAGAAAGTTGTTGCATGCACGGGAGACCACTCGATTCAAATATATAAAACCTTTCGTAGTCGTTCCACCACACCTCTATGTCGATTGTTGACTTTGTAACGAAATTCTTGCGAGTTGTCGATCAAAGCCAAATCCATGGCTTTTAATTTCTACACATACAAAACAAACATTACATGAGATCAAGGCGCGAGAGTTAACTGGTAGTACTATATGGGCAAATGGCTTTAGTACGTACTTGTTGGTGGAGGGTAGGAAAGGTACCTGGGAAAAGAGGAATTGGCAGCTGATGAAAGGGAAATGGCTGTCGCCGTGAGAGATCGATGGCCCCTGAAAAAGCAGTAAATTCATAGGTTGCCCACTTTTCCATTGGTGGTGGCCGGTGGGGTGAAAGTGAAAGACAAATTCTGAAAGTCTCACGTCGCTTTTGTATAATGGAAAATGGTTATGAATGAACTACTAGCAGTTACTTTAACCTCCCAGTTATGAATGGAGCTCGTATTCATTCATGATCAAAAGGATTTCATGCACAAAAGGGTATATTTTATCTCCGCGAATAAGGTCAATCAATCTATTAGTTGTAAACAAGGACTTGGTCTATCGATTCTGTTGCTGATTTTCCAACTTGGGAATTTCTGATTCGAATTCTTGAAGTAGTAACGAACTATTAAATTAAATTGATATGACCCTCGTAAAATTGTAATTCTGCTAGTCCTTTTGTGCACTTAACACTAGAAACATATGTGATTCTACCAAACACAGCCGCGACTGATATGTCATCGACGGGGAGTTATGGAGTCCCTAATTTGAAAATTGAGTTTGTGTATTTCTTTTTTCCTTTTAATTTTACGGCTATTTTTATCATTTTCATCTCCATATTGGATTATTTTTTTCGGGATGTTTCTGTTTAGAGCTTGGACATTGGAGAAAGTGCTTATATAAACCTTCTCTCCCTTTCTCTAATTTGTACTTTCCTCGATATAGTGAACTAACAAACGCACAACATGTTAGTGAATCACAATGATGTTATCATTGTTATGTGTTGTTTCCTTTTTCTGAAATTATTATCGATTGCTTGCTACTTTACAACATACCAAGTGACCAATCTTTCAACTTACTGCCAATTCTTAAACCCTAACTTACTGCCAAGTCTGGTTGCTTCTCATCATCATGTGCCTACCCATATATTCGATCGGGACCAAAATCTTGTACAACTAACTTTCACAAGATAATGTGGCTAGCTATGATGACCCCGTTGCACATATAACCACTATAAGCTCGAATCGTTTTCACAGCCCATTTATGAGAAAGCAAAGCATAGGACAATCCATGTGATCGATCTCTCAACATATGCTTTGCAAGCTAGCTCTCTCATATGCTCTAGTCTTTGAGGTCCCCCTAGCTTGGCTTCTTTCCCCCATTTTTTCCCTTTTGCAAAAAACATGATGTGAGAGTGCAGCACAGGAACAAGAACAACAAGAAGAAGAAATGGAAATTTTGTTGACCATGAAATGAATGTAGGAAATGTACAAAACAGAAATGAAAAATGTGCAATCATGGATGGTGAAGGAGAAAAGCTAGAGAGAGAGAGAGAGATCGAAGAGGGAATATTTCTCATGCCCATATCGCTGATTGCTACATGGGCTTAGGGGACATGCACTATAGTTTCGTCTGGTTCTTGGGGTGGATCTTGATTTGGCAAAAGCAGCAATGAGGGGACAGAAAGGAAATTTGGAGGCATTGTGGAGTTCATTGGGCTCTTTGGCAGTAGAGAGGCTATATAGCCAATATATTATGATGGTTTGCTTGTATTGAAGCTCCATTTATATCCATATATTTGAACATGGAGTGGAGACCATATTTGTAGTACATGTTTGTTATCAGAAGTTTACTTACTTTATACTCATGGGTGGGAGGGAAAAACACTCACCAAGCTAGTGACCATACAATTCAAATCAAAGGGTTAGGTTTAGTGTCTAGCTATAGCTACCAAAATAGTAGCGCTTGCTTGTCATCCTATGATAAAAGAGAGGTTTTGTCAAAGCAAAGGGTAAGGTATAAACCCTGACCATGATGTCTGGTTTTCTGGCTAAACAACATCGATAGGTGATTATATCCTGGCGTTCGAACTTGATGGATATGCGCGACTTTGTCATCTTAATGAATGATGTTGACAGGTGATTCGGTGCAAATTAACAATTTAGTAGCTAAATACGATTTCCAGTTATCATATGTTTGTTGTAATAGATAGCTATATTTCGCTAATAATTCATGCTTAACATAATTTCTGTCGAAAAGTACATATGTTTCTAGAACTCTATTAATATAAGAAATTGAGAAGATGCCATCTACCCCAAGAGTAAGCTAGCTAGCTAGAAGGGAGATAAGGCTAGAGGTGATAGTATGGAAAGGAGCAAATGGGAGGGTTCTTATGTATTGTTTTATTCAAGTGATGTGCACTTTTCCACCGATCGATCTTTACTTCCTCTTCCTCCCACATTCACAAAGCACAAGGAGAAATCAAAAGAACACTTCTTTTGTCAAACAATGCAGACAAACTCATTGGAATGCTTTCTTTTCTCCATTTG